CCATCGGCAGGTCTGCAGTCGTGGGTGAAGATACAAGGGGACATGGGGTTAGGGTCAAGGAACGAAATATAAGACATAACTATAAACCAGAGTACAAAATTTAGTGAACTCAAAAGAAGAAAGTAAAACTAAAAATATTATCATAAAGAACCCGTACAGAGGATCAGAACAATCAACATAAATTAAAAATTACAAACACAATGCAGTTAACAACTCTATAGAGGGGAAGAGGAAACAGAGAACCAGAAGACAACTAAAAAGCCCAAAACCAAACAGATTAAATCCAAATTTATCATCACGTCTTAAATTGGCTGTTTTGAATTCCTCACTTTAGCAGGAAAGTCAGGAGCCTGTTTTGTCACACACACCTTCATCGGTAACACCTGCACTGTGGTGCAATACTTACAGTCACCTTCAACAAGAGGAAACATCCTCTCAGTGAAGGTGTGTGTGAAGGTGTGTACGTGTGTGTCAGTGTCAAGATCAGAGAACGACAGCTTCCCTCCGTCCCAGTCCAGAGTCACTCTGATCCTCTGGAGCTTCCTCCTTACTGGGAGAAAAGACACCGGAGCTGGTGGTGCCCATTCATAATATCGATCATTTTGATGCCCTATTTCCAGAAATCCAGATTGTATGTGTCCCTTTCTCTGACAGGACTCTGCTGACACACCTGTTATCCACAGTTTGCTGTCTCCAACCTGAACGTCCCAGCTGTGAGTCCCTGACTTAAAGCCTTCAGAGCCCAGGACAGCACAGCTGTCTCCATCAAACCTCTCGGAATTATCAGGAAGCTGCTGCCTCTCTCCTGTTCTAAAGCTGCTCAGATCTTCAGACAGGAGGACTTCAGGGTGAGCGGTGTTAGGGTCCAGGATCGCCGGCGTGTAGGACACCAAGTCCTTCATCTTGTTCCAGATGTTGAAGGTCAGGTTGCCCAGGTGTTTGGCCTGGTCTATCAGAGCTCCTGAGGGCAGCTGTGGATCATCCAGCAGGGGGCAGCGCTGGACTCTTTCCACTGCAGCCTTGTAGTTGTGCAGGAACGAGACGTCTTCAGCTCTCAGCTCCTCCTCTGTGGCTCTGACTGTGTCTGAAAGCTGCTATCTCTCTGCTCAGAGCCTCCACCCTCTCCTCCATCCTCCCTCTCCTCTGCTCCTCTTCCTCCCTCAGTGCAGCCAGCTTGGCCTCCTCTTCTCCTTCTAGAAACTGGTGAAGTTTCTTAAACTGCTCCTTAATCTGCCTCCCTGTGCGTCGGGCCTGGGCCTTAATGTGTTCTGCTGTTTGGTCAAACTTCACTTTGACTTCTTCACAGACCTTTAACTTCTTCTTTACGGGCTCCAGAGCTTCCCGAAGCTTGTGCTTGTGTTGTCGTGCAGCTTCATCGATGGGTCTGAATCTGTGCTTGTTGTGTTTGTCAGAGTCTCTGCAGACGACACACACTGGCTGCTGATGGTCCAAACAGAAGAGTCTGAGTTTCTCAGAGTGCAGACTGCAGAGACCCTCTGAAGCTCGCTGATCTCTCTGCTGTAGGAAGGACTCACACAGGTTCTTTAAAGCCAGGTTACGAGGTGGATCGTCCCTTGAAGATCTTCTCCTGCAAACTGGACACTTGTGTGTTAAGTCTGCTCTCCACCAGCTCTTCAGACAGTCTGTACAGAAGCTGTGGCCGCATGACAGAACAACAGGATCTGAGAAGATGTTCTGACACACCGAGCAGTTAAGATCCTTGTCTGATCCGGAAGCCATCGAGTTTGTGAATGAAGCTGAAAACAGGAAGTACAGTCAGTCCTGGTTCTCCTTCTCCTCTTCACTGAAACGTCCTCTGAGTCGTATGTTTAGACTAACTTACTTTCAGTGTGGCTGTTGTTGTCTTTGTGTCCTGCAGCTGGACTCGCTCAGAGGAAGCTGGTACTTTGGTCTGATGGTGTATGTGTGTCTCTTTAGTCAGGAACAATAGCAAGGTGTTTCCTAGTTTCTTTCAAGTGAGTCAGTGGGGGGCGGGGCTTTGTCAGAACTCCTCAGGTAAGATGTTTTTCACAGAGTACAAAAGCCGACCTGTCAGCCGTTGGAAACTGTAAAACAGGTTTGTCCAAATTTCATCAGGACAGTCTCAACTTTAGAAGTTTATTCAATGAGGATAACAAAGTTCTGACTGATACTGTGAAGATTTGAAGTTTAGTCCTGTAACATTTGTACGTTGGCTTCACATTCAAAAAAGCAAATTTCTAATCTCAAAACTTCAGAGGGCTCATTTATTTCAGGTGTGCAGTAAGGAAAGAAGCTCCACGAAGTTTGAGTTCATAGGAACATGTGTTGGTAATATTTACATTCTGTGTTAAGAGGCAGATGTGACCAGTGCAACATAGAATAGAATAGAATAGAATAGAATAGAATAGAATAGCCCTTTATTGTCAATGTACAATGAAATTACTCCACAGAATAAGAATAAAGCACAGATTGGAGAGCAAAGAGAAGACTCGGTCAGAGTAGAGTCGGTGTGGGAGTCACCTGAGAGCTGAGGGTTACTCACACCATGGCTCAGATTGGTGAGGTGGGTGGGCAGGATGTGTGTTTGTGTGTCTGTGCCGTGACCAGAGGGCAGTAGGTGAAACAGGTGGTGGGCGGGGTGCGAGGGGTCACCTGTGATGGCCCTGGTTTACCTGAGACAGGAGGATCTGATCATGGCCTCCAGGGCTGGCAGAGGGCAGTCAGTGATGTTTTGGGGTGCTGTTAATGACCCTCTGTGCAGCCTTCCTGTTCTCAGTCGTGGCCCCTGAGTACCAAACTCGCTCTCCACTGAGGAGCTGTAGCAGGTCAGCAGCAGCTTCAGGTCCAGGTTATTCTTCCTCAGGACATGGAGGAACTGCAGCCACTGCTGGGCGTTCTTTACCAGGGTGATGGTGCTGTGGGTCCAGGTGAGATCAGCAGACATGTGGATCCTCAGAAACCTGAAGGTGGAGACAGATTCCACCTGTTCTCCATGTATAATGAGAGGGAGTGGACCTGTCTGTGCCTCCTGATGGCCGCTAACTTTCTGCTTCTTAATTCAGATCAAACTGAGGTTATTGTACTCGGCCCTGAAAAGCCTAGAAATATGGTATCTAAGCAGATTCTTACTCTGGATGGCATTACCTTGGCCTCCAGTAACACTGTGAGGAACCTTGGAGTCATTTTTGACCAGGACATGTCCTTCAACACACATATTAAACAAATATGTAAGACTGTGTTCTTCCATTCCCATGATGCACTGGGTATTTCTTCTTCACTCACTATGTATTAACAGACCTCTCTGCATTGAATCATATCTGTTATTAACCTCTATCTCTCTTCCACAGCATGTCTTTATCCTGTCTTCCTTCTCTCTCTCCAACCAATCACAGCAGATGGCCCCGCCCCTCCCTGAGCCTGGTTCTGCTGGAGGTTTCTTCCTGTTAAAAGGGAGTTTTTCCTTCCCACTGTCGCCAAGGTGCTGCTCATAGGGGTCATATGATTGTTGGGTTTTTCTCTGTAGCGCTATATAAATAAAATTGAATTGAATTGAATCTTCCATGATGTTCTCTCTCCTACAGCGTTGGTTACAATTACACAAGTATGACCAATTATGTAAATTAGGCGATGACATCATTTAGCGACTTCTAGTGACTTTTAGGACAGCCAATAGCGATTTTCCTTACTGAGGAGTTGGTAACTCTGATGGGGTGGTCTGCGCTTTCTTGGCCGACTCGCCTGTGGGGTGGGTTGGCCCCCATTGCAATGTCTGGTCTGCACCTGGGGAGCTCGTGGGTGCCTGCAGTACCACTAGATCGGGTGCCCTGGACTCGGTGGGGCTCTGGGTGTTGTGGGGCTCTGGGTGTTGTCGTTGTGGGCCCTAAGCCGACTTTTTCCCACCATCTGGTGGGGTGTTAGGAATAAACAATAGGGGTGACTTCTCAGCCAATCATTTGCTGGCTCTCTAAGGGTACTCCACTATCTCCTGGTCTTACTATTCCCACCCCCTACATTTGACCTAAACTCCTTCCAAATAACAGGGAGAACAAATTTTAACACAAAAATGCTCCTGACTGCTGCGAGACTGCCGTAGTGTTTAATTTACACAGTGAATGAAACTCTCTAATGTACAAAGATCTGCACAAGCTCTCTTAACAGCAGACACACAAATTTACTCCAATTTCACTTTTTGAGTTAGGATTTTCACACACAAAAAACAAACACTGAAACACCCACTGTTGGGGAGAGGGTCATCTGGTGGTTAGGAGCCTCTCGGCCTGGGGCTCGGTCACTCAGGCACAGCTGGCTGCCGGCGGAGCTCACGGGCGCGTCACTGCAACCCCCCCAGGCTTCTGCTCCGCGGCTGCTGAGTGAGCCCTCATCTGGGACTCTCCTCAGCTCTTTCTGGGACAGTGGCGCGGCTGCCCCTCTGTTGGTCTTCCTTGGTCTCTTGTGTTCTGGGGGCCTCTGGATGTCTGGAGTTTTGATCTCCTCCATAGCTCAAAAAATTTAAGACTTTTAACTCCATTTTTCTGTTTTAATGAAGCCCCCCCCCCATGGTCATTCATCCGGGGTTTCTCTGTGAATATCACAGTCGTGCTCGCTGCTCGCTCAGAGTTGAAGTTTAATTTTTCGCTGTAGAAACTTTTCTTCCCACAGAGTGAACAGCAGACGCTAATGTTTTCGTCACTTTTTATGCAATCAAACTCAAAGTAATGTGATTACTTCCACGCTTTAAACGCTGCACGGTCGTACTCTCTCCATCACTCCATATTATCTGTTGTTGATCTGCACGTCTGTTGCTGCCACGGACGCCACACGCTCGTACGTCATTATCATGAGACACACAAACAAAAGCACGGTTCAGTAACGCAGCGTGCCTACGGGAAAGTAACAGTAATCTAATTTATTTTTTGCAATAGTAATCCCTTACTTTACTTGTTGCGTGAAAAAGTAATCGGCCCATCTGTGGTGAAGCTGTGTGTCAGTGTCACAAGTACGAGTAAAGAAACCCCAAATCAGGACAGTATGTATATTTAATGGTTACACAAACAGCTCAGAGGACAAAAGAACAACCAAACAAAAGCAGCAGCGCACACACACACACATCATCCAGCTCAACAACACACTACACTTACATTACATATTCACTGTTTCTGGAGATTACTTTGGAAGATCGTGTTTCAGTGATTCTAACATGTTTTAAGCTGTGATATAAAACATTGATGGACAATAGCAGGTTGTATGAAAGACTTAAAAATGATTGCTACAATGTTAAAAGGTGACATGTCATAACAGATGCACTATGGTTAATGTGGGGACTCCTCAGGGAAGCCTCCTGGGTCCTCTTTATTTGCCCTGTACAGTCAAATACCTGAAAATACAGCTGCATGACCTTCTGTGCTGATGATATCCAGCTTTATATGTGTGTGTAACACCTGCTGAGGATGTTAGTACTAGTGCTTCATAAATAGCTATGCTAAACTTCAAACACCACCTTAAAACCTGTTTTGTTACTGGCCCCGAATGGAGTATTTGCCAGTAAACCAGCCACAGTGGGAACGTTGCTTTGATTTCAAACACGTTTCAGCAAAACTTTTATATCACAGGCGCTAACCTTTTAAGATTGACCAATGAACAAAACAGAAGTGGTACTGCTGCCGTCTGTTTGGCCAGCTGAGATGGAAATCTTAGTCTGGCACATTGGGAACAGGAGGCATGGAGCAGCCATGCATACGGGGATTTTCCTGAGAATCACAAATCCAAAGCAGAGCATCTCATTCACACAGACCACACAACGACAGGACAACAACAGACAGCGCACAAATGCCACAGAGCAAGCATGGCATGCAGTATCCATACCCTGCAGGCTGGACATGAAAATAACATTTCAGAAGCATCTTACAATAACGAGGGTAACAGCTGCAAATTTCACTCATTTTCTTTTAAAGGAAATGTTTATGAAAATCTGTACAGACCTTTGGTTGGATATGCACTCCTGTATATACCTCTACTGGTGTACAATATACATATTTCAATGACTCTAATTTAAATACTAATTTGGCTAAAATGAATATAAAAAATAACATGTGTGTATATAAGTGTCTCATGCTGTGGTCAGCTGTCCACACGTGAAATGAGCTTAATATGCTTTTCTTCCCTTTGAACAAACAACACAGTCGAGCACTTTTACAGGTTTTCATAAACACAGAGTAGAAAAGGTTTTGAACCATCGCAGACACAACTTATTACACAGGGTTAATATCTGTATAAAATAGATTTCTTTAAATATTACAAAGGTTAGATTTGACATGGTTCCACAGTAAAAACAGTCGAAGACCATCCAGGTTTTGTTTCAGCAGCAAGAAAACAAAGTACGATAACTACAGAAACTCAGGTTACAACAGTGACAGGTCTTCAGCACAGTCGAAGTAAAAGAGCAGAAACTTCAGTCTGTTTGCATATAAAGTCATATTTAAACGGTCACTTGAAAATACATTTTAAAAGTTTACACTTACTGATCGGCAACCTCATAGGCGGCACATGTTGACGATACGTGTTGTCCACGTTACTGGAAACTCGAAATGTCCCAGAAACCAAAACTAGGAGCTAAAAGAGGCAAAAAGTTCCAGAGATGGTGCCAGCGCTTTCTGACAGAAGCTGCCACAAAAACCGAGGACGTGTTTTATAACGCAGTGCCACTGATGCTGGTTCAAAAAAGGAAAAGGCATCAGCTTCCCTGCAGCAACACAGTCAATAGTCTCTTTTCCCGCATACAGTCGGTGGGTGTGCCGTTGCTTAGTTTGGGCCCTCTGATGATTCAAGTGCCTGATTTGGAAATGTTTGCTCTGGTAGTGCGAACCTCGGGTTAATGGAAGGCCACTGAATGAAAGCGTTGGTTTCTGAGCTCACCTCGTCTCTGCCTGCCGAAGTCTCCATCACGTAAGAGTCAAAGTACTGTTTTTACTCCTCGATGAGTTTCCAACATTTATTCAGTATCCAAACAGCAAAAATGGTACCAACCATTATTTCATACATGCAGTCATAGTTCATCATCCTGACTGGTAACCAGTATTATGGTCTGTAGTAGGTCTTTTATCAGGAAGCTGCAGGAAGCTGGCCAGCGGGCGATGGCGAGACTTTTGTGCCCTTTGATGTCCGAAGCATAAAAACTCATGTTACAGTATTCATGTTTAACAGTGATATAATATTCAGCTCAGGGTTTCTGCTGAGACACTAAAGAGCCGCGCCGACCTGCAACCAGAGACCAGACACAGCTGAGAAATGTAGACGACTCCGTTTGACTAAGTGCTGGTGTTCAGGCGGAGGCAGTAGCTCCTCCCACTGGGCAGGCCTTCTTAATCCATATGTCACTTCCTGAGGTTTACGTTGGGCTTCCTGTTTATGTCAGTCCAACATGGCGTCCAGCTGGTCGGCCAGGTCATCGAACATGTTGCCGATGTCGTCCAAAATGGTTCCTGCAGACCTCACTTGGTTCGGTCCACTGGTGTTAAAGAATGAGACACAAATGTACATTACTTATGATGCAAACACAGAAGAGAAGAAAGCTTCCATACAGTCTGAAAGCTGCTGTGACACCAGATAACTACCAAAGTAAGGTCCAAACGAAATGCTTCAGTTGCTGTGGGAAGGGCAGCCATGCTGGGGAAAATGAGTCGACTGTGATTTTGACCTGACCCTCAGGTGGGTGATCTTACCTGTCAGAGCTGTTCTCCACGTTCAGTTTTCTCTCGACGTCTTTTAGAGCTGCTGCCAGAGACGTGCTGGTCTGATCCAGTCTCTGCTGAGCCACCTCCACCCCCACGGACGGCTCAGGGGGAAGACCTGGACCCAATGCATATATGTGAGACCTCCCAGCTGCCAGAGACGGGCTCTGGGGGGCCTTAGCGGATGGAGCTGGAGGCCCGCGGGCGGGTGAGGATGGAGAGGTGAAGGCCAGACTTTGAACCACACTGACGGTCACAGTAGGAGACGACAGTCCTGCAGAAGAAGATATCCATACAGTAAAACACCAACAAGTGCCAAGTGAAGATTGAGACGTGTCAACCTACAAGTCAAGTTGCATCCTTTCATCCATCCATGATGCACTGAGCATTTCTTATCTGTTATTAACCTCTGTCTCTCTTCCACAGCATGTCTTTATCCTGTCTTCCTTCTCTCTCCCCAACCAATCACAGCAGATGGCCCCGCCCCTCCCTGAACCGGAGGTTTCTTCCTGTTAAAAGGGAGTTTTTCCTTCCCACTGTCGCCAAAGTGCTGCTCATAGGGGGTCATATGACTGTTGGGTTTTCTCTGTATGTGTTATTGTAGGGTCTACTGTACAATATAAAGAGCCGTGAGGCGACTGTTGTTGTGATTTGTTGCTGTATAAATAAAATGTAATTGAATTGAATCATGCATCCATTCTAATCTTCCTTTCCATCTCAAGTTCCACCATCACTGACAAACACGACTGAGATACTTCTATCTAGCAAATCTGCAAATTTGTAATAGTACCAAGTTAGAGAGGCAAGGCTTAGCTGATCTGCATGTGCAGAGGCGAGAGTGTGGATATTTGGTGAAAAGATGATGAAGATGGAGCTGCCAGGTAGGAAAAAAAGAGGAAGACGTGCAGAGGGTTAGCATGACAGAAGAGGATGCTGGGATAGAGGCAGATGGTCCACTGTGGAGACCACTAAAGGGAGCACCCAAAAGAAAAAGAACCAAGACCCAGGAAAGCGTCTAAGTCCAACTCAAAAAGTCCAAAGCCCAAAAGTCCCAGTCTCAAGCTCTGTCTAGAAATAAAAGACTCAAAGTAACTAGAACATGCCCCTACTCCAAGCCCAGAGCCAAAGTTCCAGTTTCTCTTTCATCCAAGTGAAACCAGAGGGCGTAGTAACAGATCACAAGTCAAAGAAAGTAGGACTCGCATGTTTCATCTACAGTCAAATCAGAATTCAGTCAGTTACTGAGCCCACATTTCCTTAAGAAGCAGAATCTGCGGGTTTTATAATGTCACAGCGTATCAGTGAGGTGTGAGTCTCTTACCCTGTGAAGCCAGCAGACTGTGCCGGACAGGTTTGGGGGCGACAGCAGGTTTAGGGGAGAGAGGAGGTTTAATGGGGGAACCGGTTGCTGGACTGGCTGGCCTCTCCACGCTGGTCTCACTGATTCTCAGACTGACCTCCGGGTTCAGGGATGGAGGCCTGCTGCTGTCAGACTCGGGCTCGGTGGCCCCTGCTCCCTCTCTGCTGGGGGACCCTCCTCCCTGCTCCTTGTCTTTGGGTTTGTGTCGGCGCTTCACCGTGTCCGACTCTTTCAGATTAAACTCCAGCACCTCCAGATTTTTGGCCGCTGGCTTATCAGGAGGCTCCAGCACGGCCTCAGCCCTGGGCGGACCTGGAGCTTTGGGCCTCTGTTTGATGGTCAGGTTGCCCTCTTCGGCGAAGGGGATGCACTCGCTGGAGCTGTTTTGAGGTGACGAGGAGCGTTCCAGTCCATGACCGTTTGACTCTTCTTCCTCGGAGTCCGATTTGACCCCTCGGTCCTGCTTGGTGCTGCCGTTGTTCTCGGTGGAAACACACTGGCTCTTCACCCTCCTCCTTACTCCTGCAACCTCGGAGCTGAGGGAGGGAGATGGAGCCTCGTGCCGCACAATATCTGGTGTGGAGCTGCTCTTCCCCTCTGCGCCGCTTTCCAGGGACGCTGCGATGCTGCGCACGCTCCCCGGACTATCAGTCACTACGCCGCCAGTGGACGAAGTCGTGCTGCTGTCGCTCAGCTCGCCACTGGTGGTGCTGCTCACTGAGCTCAGTCTCTTTGGGGGAGGAGGAGGGGGACCTTTTTTCCGGGCACGGACAGCAAACGACTGACTGCGTCCCACGCTGCCATTTTTGTCTGGACTTGGCTGCAGTCGAGCCAGCTGGTGGCGGCCGGGCTTGCGCGTTAAAGTGGCGTAAGATGGCACGTTTCCAGCACGCATCAGCTCCTCATCGTCCTCATCGGGCTCTCCGTCTGACAGAGCGTAGCGGGTGATGGTCTGGGTGCGCTTGTTGGGTGGTGTCAGGGTCATAGCGTGGTTCTGGTGCCTGGGAGACGAGTTCAGGTCTGCAGAACCGCACTGAGAGTGCAGGTAACTGAACCCCTTCAGGGTTGGGGAGCCGTGAGGGGAGGAGCCTTGGGATCCAGGCAGTTTGGGCTTTGCGGGGATGGCCGGGTACTTGAACACAGTGGCCGTACCCAGAGGAACCTGTTTTGGCAGAGGCTGCTGCTGTAGGGGCCTCTGGTCCCATCCCTCAGGAAGATTCCTCTCCTTGGCGGGGCTGCCCTCCAGGCTCTCCTGGGACCAGTTCTGGGGGGTGATGGAGGCTGTAGGAGGCTCCTGTGAGCGTCCAGAACCTCTGGACCGGGTGTCAATGCTCTCCTGGCTCTGGGACATCCCCACCGCATTCTTGATGGCCAAACCTTCCTCGCAGTCTCCATAGTGGCTTGACATTGCTGTCTGCAGCTCGGCGCTCAGCTCGCTGTCCTGGAAGGTCAGCATCTTCGGGGTGTGAGGTGAAGAGCATTCGCTGCCAGCATCGGCCTCAATGGCGACCAGGTGAAGGGCTCCGGGACCTTTGCGTCGCAGCGTGCCTTGGCCTGATTCAGCCTGAAGGATCGCTCTCTGGATGTCACACAGCTTCTTAACTGCCAACATCAGCTTCTTCTGGTGGCCTGGAAGCAAATTGACTTATCAGACTCAAAACGCAGACAGAAACACAGTCCACAAACTCAAAGATCCAACGAGTCCTCACCCAGCTTGGTGATGCCGATCTCCTGCAGATCCTCCCAGGTGAGGTCTTTGACGATGCTGATGGAGTCATAGCCATTTTCTGAGAGTTTTTTGTGGTACTGCGGGAGGCCGATGGCACTGAGCCACTCGCAGAGATCAGACTGTGAGAAAAGGCCACGTGAGTTGGATCAGGTGAAAAGTATTGAGCTTATTATGCAGCAGTGTGTGCACGAAACAGCGGACAGTCTTACTGGGATGTACTCTGGCAGCCACTCGGGGATGTTCAGGTTGTTGATCTCAATGGAGATTTTCTTGCGGTGTCCTGGTTTGGTCACTCCGATGGCCGTGAGATCCTGCACACATTAAACATCAGTGAGTCACCACACGCCACACGCAGAGCCGCAAAGTCCTGCGACTGCATCTGAGACTGAGTTTATATCAGTGGTTTACAGTCAGCGTGACACGGGTCAATACTTCACTGGATTATTCAGTTAATCACAAAGAAGAATCCGTCTATGAAAAAAGGTTCTGTAATTTGTAAGTTTTTACATTGTGTCAAGAATGTTTTCGAATTATGAAATACTCTTTAACTTTCACTGATCTTTAGATCATTTTAAACCGGAATAAATAGTGAATTGAATGTGAGTGTGAATGGTTGTCTGTCCCTGTGTGTTGGCCCTGCGACAGACTGGCGACCTGTCCAGGGTGCACCCTGCCTCTCGCCCTATGACAGCTGGGATAGGCTCCAGCGCCCCCTGCGCCCCTGAAAAGGATAAGCGGAAGCGAATGGATGGATGAATTTACACATTTACAAACGTTTCGCTTCTAATTTTTCTTTCTAACATTTATAAAAAGTTCTGTCACCACTGTGATGTCACCTGTTGGTTTTTGAAGCTTGTGAGCTTTTTTTCGGAAACAGAAACCTTTGGACAACAAGCGGCGTGGATCTGGAAAATTATTTTTTCATGACATCTAATAGAATTCTAGAATTTTATTATATTTTATGAAGGAGGAAGTCATCTACATAAATCAAACAGTTTGTGTATCAGGCTGTAAACACGTTTGTTTCAGCTGTAAAGTTTTAACATGGGAGTTTATGGGGACTGACTCACTGCTGCCCCTCCTGGGTGTTGGAGAAACTGCAGCTTTTGGTGGTTCAGCGCTAGCCTCATTTTATCAGCTCCGGAGGTTGTCATTTAAGTGAAATCACAATGCCACAATGAGTGTAAAAAGAAAACGCAGAAGTCATGGGAGAAGAGTACAAGGATCTAAAACCTGCAGGGTGTGTTCAGGTCATTGTGAATCAGGTCCAAGTGTGCTGGGACCTGTTTATGTCAGGGCTCCTCTTAGATGGAGATGCAGTTTGTTTTTCTTTGGGTTGGTTCTGATGCAGTGGGTCTAAATTTGTGTCATCCTATGTTGATACTGAGGGCGGATGACTTCAACAGAAGTTGTGCAGTTCTTTTTTTAATAAAGGAGTGAAGGGTCACCTCAGGGGTCATCCTGCTGATGGTTGGTACATCATATCCAGCGTTCAGGAAGTTTCCGGTGTACTGCTCGAGCTGGAACTCACTCAGCCACTGATAGATGGCTTCTGCATCCTAAAACACACACAGACATTAATTCATCAGGTGATACACGCAAGTAAGATCTTACTTCTTTTAGTTACAGCTTTTAAATAGAACCAGAGGCCAGCTCAGAGGAATCAGGTTTATGTAAACTCTGTTTGTTAAACCTGCTTTCTGGAACTTTCCCACGCTGATGTGCAAATTATTGTGATGCAAAACAAAAACTAACAGCATGAAGTTGGTTTTAAAGTGCTGCTTTTTACCTTCCCATCCAGCAGCTGCTGAGGACGAACAAACTGCTGGGAGAAGCTCTGCTCTGCAGGTCTCTGCACCGTCACTGTCTGCCTCCGAGGAGTCCCGCCTACACGAAGGAGATGATCAACGCAGATCAAACACACCTTAGATATTATTTACTGCAGCACCTCAAAGTGACAGGAGGTAAAATAAGGCAGGAAATGGAACGGAAGGACCAATGTATGCTGCTGCAGAACATATCTCTGCTTCACAGATGGTGCATTACGACTTTTATCGTAATTTCAGATGTGATTTAAGACCAGTGTTGGGAAGATTACTTTTAAAATGTATTCCACTACAGATTACAGATTACATGGCCCAAAATGTATTTTGTAACATATTCGGTTACATTACTCAATGAGAGTAACATATTCTGAATAATTTGGATTACTTAATATATTATCATGCTTTTTACAACTATATGAAAGTACTATGCCCCTCTGCGAATCGCTACCTTATCGCGGTGGAGGGGTTTGTGTGTCCCAGGGATCCCAGGGGCTATGTTTTCTGGTGGCTAGCCCCCTGGTAGGGTCTCCCATGGCAAACTGGTCCTGGGTGAGGGACCAGACAAAGAGTGATTTAGGAGATCCCTATGAAAATACCACCAAGGGAACAGTTCACCCTGCCCGGGATAGGGTTACCGGGGCCCCACCCTGGAGCCAAGCCCAGGGAGGGTACCCGAGGGCGAGCGTCTGATGGCCAGGCCTTAGTCTATGGGGCCCGGCTGGGTACAGCCCGAAAAAGGGAGATGGGCCCATCTTTCTGCAGGCCCACCACCGCACGACTCACCGTAGGGGTCGGGTGCAATGTGAGTCGGGTGGCAGCCAAAAGTGGAGGCCCTGGCGGACCGATTCCCGGCTACAAAGACTGGCAACTGGGACATAGAATGTCATCTCTCTGGTGGGCAAAAAGCCCGAGTTAGTGCGTGAGGTTGAGAGGTACCAGCTAGATACAGTCGGGCTCACCTCAACGCATGGCCTGGGCTCTGGAACCAGTCTCCTGTAAAGGGGCTGGACTCTGTCTCGGTCTGGAGTTGGCCCTGGTGAGAGGCGTCGGGCTGGGGTGGGTATCTTGTTATCCCCTCGGCTTGCTGCTGGTATATTGGGGTTTCTCCCAGTGGACGAGAGGGTTTGTTCCCTTCTCCTTCGGGTCGGGGAACGGGTCTGACTGTCATCTGTGCTTATGTGCCGAGTGGCAGTTCAGAGTACCCAGCCTTTTTGGAGTCCCTGGTTGGGGCACTGGAGGCAGCTCCCCCTGGGGACTCTGTTGTCCTACTGGGAGACTTCAGTGCTCACGTGGGCAACGACAGTGAGACCTGGAAGAGTGTGATTGGGAGGAATGGCCTCCCGGATCTGAACCCGAGCGGTGTTTTGTTACTGGACTTCTGTGCAAACCAGTTTGGCCATAACGAACACCATGTTCGAACATAAGAGTGTCCATAAGTGCACGCTGCACCAAGAAACTCTAGGCCACAGGTAGATGATCCATTTTGTAATCCCATCACCAGACCTGAGGCCTTATGTTTTGCACACTCATCATCATCATCACTCAGGTAAAGAGAGGGGCTGAGCCGTCAACTGATCAACACCTGGTGGTGAGTTGGATCAGGTGGCGAGGGAGGACACTGGACAGACCTGGCGCGCCCAAACGTACAGTAAGGGTGTGCTGGGAACGTCTAGCAGAGGCCCCGGTCCGCGAGATCTTGAACTCACACCTCCGGCAGAGCTTCAACAGCATTCTGAGGGAGACTGGGGACATTGAGTCCGAATGGACCATGTTCAGCACCTCCATTGCTGAAGCCGCTGCACTTAGCTGCGGGTGCAAGGTAGTTGGTGCCTGTCATGGTGGTAATCCCCGAACCAAATGGTGGACACCAGAGGTGAAGGGAGCCACCAAGCTGAAGAAGGAGTGCTAGCGGGCTTGGTTAGCCTGTGGAACTCCGGAGGCAGCTGATAGGTACTGACAGGCCAAGCAGAATGCAGCGGGGGGTGGCAGAAGCAAAAACTCGGGTGTGGGAGGAGTTTGGAGAGGCCATGGAAAAAAAGACTTTGGGACTGACTCGAAGAGATTCTGGCAAACTGTCCGGCGACTCAGGAGGGGAAAGTGGTGCTCTACCTGTATTGTGTATAGTGCGAGTGGAGTGCTGCTGACTTCGACTGAGAAAATTGTCAGGCGGTGGAAGGAATACTTCGAGGATCTCCTCAATCCCACTGGCACGTCTTCCATGGTGGAAGCAGAGTCTGGGGACGAAGGGGATGACCCACCAATCTCTGGGGGCGAGGTCACTGAGGCAGTTAAACAACTTCTTGGTGGCAGAGCCCCTGGGGAGGACGAGGTCCGCCCCGAGTTCCTGAAGGCTCTGGATGTTGTAGGGCTGTCTTGGTTGACAGGTCTCTGTGATGTTGCGTGGAGATCAGGGGCAGTACAACTAGACTGGCAGACCAGAGAGGTGGTCCCCATCTTTAAGAAAGGGGACCGGAGGGTGTGTTCCAACTACAGGGGAATCACACTCCTCAGCCTCCCTGGGAAAGTCTATGCCAGGGTGCTGGAAAGGAGAGTTTGTCCGCTAGTCGAACCTCGGATACAGGAGGAACAATGCGGTTTTCGCCCTGGTTGTGGAACACTGGACCAGCTCTTTATCCTCTTGGCGCATGGGAGTTTGCACAACCAGTCTACATGTGTTTTGTGGACTTGGAGAAGGCATTCGACCGTGTCCCTCAGGGGGGTTCTGTGGGGAGTGCTCCGGGAGTATGGGGTGTTTGGCCATTCAGTCCTTATACGACCATTGGAAGAGCTTGGTCCCCATAGCCGGCAATAAATTGGACTTGTTCCTAGTGGGTGATGGGCTCCGCCAGGGCTGCCCTTTGTCACCGATTCTGTTCGTAGTTTTTATGGACAGAATTTCTAGGCGTAGCCAAGTGGCGGAAGGCTTTCACTTGGGTGGTCTCAGGATCTCATCTCTGCTTTTTGCAGATGATGTGGTCCTGTTGGCTTCATCAAGTGATGGCCTCCAGTTTGCCTTGGAATGGTTCGCAGCTGAGTGTGAAGAGGTGGGAATGACAATCAGCACCTCCAAATCTGAGGCCATGGTCCTCAGCCGGAAAAGGGTGGAGTGCCCATTCCGGGTCAGGGATGAGTTCCTGCCCCAAGTGGAGGAGTTCAAGTATCTCGGGGTCTTGATCACGAGTGATGGGAGAAGGGAGCGGGAGATCGACAGACGGATTGGTGCAGCGGCTGCAGTGATGCGGACGCTGTACTGGTCTGTTGTGGTGAAGAGGGAGCTGAGTGTAAAAGCGAAGCTCTCAATTTACCGGTCGACGTACCCTCACCTATGGTCACGAGCTGTAGGTAGTGACTGAAAGAACGAGATCGCGGATACAAGCGGCGGAAATGAGCTTCCTCCGAAGGGTGGCTGGCCTCTCCCTTAGAGATAGGGTGAGAAGTTCGGCCATTCGGAAGGGGCTCAGAGTAGAGCAGCTGCTGCTCCACATTGTAAGGAGCCAGTTGAGGTGTTTCAGGCATCTGACAAGGATGCCTCCTGGGCGAGGTTTTCCGGGCATGTCCCACTGGGAGGAGGGCCCGGGGCAGACCCAGGACACGCTGGAGAGATTATATCTCTCGGCTGGCCTGGGAACGCCTTGATGTTCCCCCGGATAAGCTGGAGGAGGTGGCTGGGGAGAAGGAGATCTGGGCTTCTCTGCTTGGGCTGCTGCCCCGCGACCCGGCCCCCGGATAAGCGGAAGAAAAGGGATGGATGGATGGATGTACTATTGCTGTGTGATTTATTACTATTGCTGAAGGTTGCTCGCCATACCAATATCAACTAGATTTTTAAATCTTAATATAAAATGAGTAACAGTAAGGTGGGCATTAGGTAAGGCTGCACTTTTTGCAGCGATCTCGTATAGAAAAATATTTCTGTATCAGTAATATGTTTTCTTTTTGTCTGTTAATAATCATGTGGAACTGCACATGATTATTTGCAGCTAGCAGGTTGTTAATGCTATCCATCAAGTCTAAAAACAGCATGTTAATACGTGGAGATCCTGAAGGCTGAAAGTGTTCTAACATCTCAGCTGTTTGTTTTTATTCAGGCATACATGTGTACTATGTTTATTAAGAGAGATTAAGCTTGTGTTTCTGTCATGTAGTGATTGTGCTTAACTGTATGAAGGTTATTGGACATTATGAAACAGATGATACATAAAAGCAAATCTTGCCAAAGTGCTTAAAATACTTCTTGAAATTACCTTTTTTTTCTTAAAGAAATCTACTACATCATTAGTAAGTTTTATGTCATGTGTAATTTCCATTGCAAATATTAATCACAGTTAAATTAAGAGGGGATGGAGCTGTGATGTCATCAAGTACACTGCCGTTCCAATTGTGGAAAGATTGCGCTGTGTTCTCAGGAAATCTTGAGTATTTACAAACAGTCTAACAGTCTATGATCTAACCTCAGCTAACGCCAGCTAATAATGTTAGCTCGGTGGAGAGTAGCCTTCATTAATAGTAATAAGAAAAATCACACAGCAATAGAACATCGAAGATACTGAATCCAATTCTTCTTAAGGAGTGGTGTTGGAAATTCCAAGTAAGAATTCCTGCCCGTGCACTGCTGGCTCTGTTGTGCTGGCTCCGGGTCCATTGCGTAACTGACACTATTAACAGGACGCTTACATTAGAGCCTCTTATTGAGTGTTTTGTTTGGGTTTTCAGCAATCAGAATCAGTGTATTAATCCCAGAAGGAAATTGAGTAAAGTGCCGCAGGTCTTACTTGAACACGGGCCGGCCGCTCTCAGCTATGCACCATATGCTTGCATGCTCATCCAACTGACCTACACCTACCCTCCACTGCATTTAATCACCAAAATTGGAGAAAGCATAGAGAGGGGATAGCCTAACATATGAAACAGGAAATGACCGCCGAGTATTCTATTTATTTCAACAAAGTAACTGTATTCTGATTACCACCTATTTAAACGGTAACTGTAAGGGAATACTCATATTTTGTATTTTAAATATGTAACACCAGTACATGTATTCTGTTACTCCCCAACACTGTTCAACACACAGACAGTCGCAGCAGATGGCCCCGCCCCTCCCTGAGCCTCAGGTTACTTCCTCTTATAAGGGGTTTTTTCTGCTCATAGGGGGTCATATGATTTTGGGGTTTTTCTCTGTGTGTATTATTGTAATATAATGAATTGAATTGAACTGAATAGGTACCTGCAGGATGATCGGCCGGCCTGCCAAAGTCTGCAGACTGCCCTGGATCAACAGCAGAGGGCGCCGCCTGCACATAAAAACATGTAAAACAGTCAGCGAGCAGCACAGAGCTTCACATCAACACACAAAAGAAAATAATTTAGAAGAAAAACTATAAATGCAAAGGCAAATCTGTGCAAATCGTGACACATGAGAGATTTCAGCAAATCTTTAGGTCAGTTTAGGAGCTTTTACTGAGTCTGACTCTCAGGTATTCAAATCATTAATGTGATAAGCATTTTGGATTAACAGGCTTCTCCCTTATGAGTCCAATTTTCTCTAACCCTTTTTTTCAGCTATCATTATCTGATCCTATATTTCGAGATTGGCATGACAGGGGCATTACATGTTTCAATGATCTGTTTTTTGACAATACCTTTGCGTCTTTTGCTCAGCTTTCTGAAAAGTTTAATCTCCCACGTACACATCTTTGCAGATATGTGCAGATCAGACATTTCCTTCAATCTCAGATTCCAAATTTCCCAGTAGCTCCAGCTGCAAGCCCAGGGGATATGCACCTTACTCTAGTTCCAACACGTAAAGGGTTTATCTCTTATCTATGACAGGCTGGTGAGCATGAACGTTTCCTCGATAGATTGGATTAAAACGGCCTGGGAACAAGATTTAAATCAGTCATTGTCTATGGAGACACGAGACTTAATACTCACGTTAACTCCACGTCCCTATGTGCCGCCACTGTCTTTTACAATTTAAGGTCGTGCATAGGTTCCATCTCTCCAAAGTCAAACTATCTCGTACGTATCCGAATGTTGACCCCTCTTGTGATAAGTGTGGGAGTGCGGAGGCTTCCCTTATCCATATGTTCTGGGCGTGCCCTAGCCTGGAGAGATATATTTCAAACCTTGTCCCTAACTCTTGGACACCATATGGATCCTAACCCATTAGTTGCTCTTTTTGGCACCACCGGGGAGGCTGATGCACGGTTGACCTCGTCACAGCGTTGCACGCTCTCCTTCGCCTCCCTTGTAGCTAGACGTACAATCCTACTAAGATGGAGGGCTGCCCCTTTGCCCAGCCAGGCTCAATGGCTGAGGGACCTTATGTATTATCCCAGCCTTGAAAAGATCCGGTATGCGATTAGTAATAACAGCGGCAAGTTTTACAAGGTGTGGGGGCGATTCCTGAAACACTTTTCCAGCCTTGGAATCCGACTTCCAGCATTACTCAGTAAATCCTCCCCCCTTCTTCTTCTTTTGTAAACTGATAAAAGCAATAATAAGACATGTGAGCGTTCACTCAGTTCAAGTCAAATATGAAATGTTTCCATCCACAGTGCAGTGATAACTTCTCACAGGGCAGAACTGAAAACACAAGCTGTCTGTAGCATCTGCAGCCATCAGATGTACTCGGCGTGTCAGGAGTCACATGTCATTTCCTCATCTAATTCTGTGTTTCACGTGATTCGTGACACCCGAGCTTACCGAGGTCTGTTTATGTAAACTCCTAAATCCTTTTCCAGAAATCAATAAAAGTGTGTTTCAGGGGGTCAAAGGTCACAGTGGGGCTGTGGTAGTGAAACCGACTCAGTCAAAACATTTCTGTATTCAAATCAGAGACTCGCCCAGATTAAAGTTTCCAAATCTGAGAAACGGGCTCAAAAAAAGGTGCTTATGTGTCCACGTGCATCGCTGTACCTTGTTGTCATGGTGACTGGCGTGGTGCTGCAGTCCGTTGGGGGCGTGGCTGCTCTCAGTGCTCTGCCCGCTGCCGGCGCTGCGGGTGCTGCCCACGCTGCCGGTGCTCCCGACGCTGTTTCTGTCTCCAGCTGCAAACCAAAAACACGGCAATGAACAAACCCGCCAGCCACCATCAACGCACGTCAGGCTGGAGGAAGCTGGAGGAGATGGGGGGTGGCGGACGGGATGCGTGGGAGCACAGCTGCAGGCACGAGTCTGACCGGGAAGCTGCTCGTGCAACATCTACCTGAGCTGCACGAGCAGCTGGAAAGCTTCTCAATCGACCCGGAATCACGTCAGGATCAAAAGATTCTCCCGCTGATCCGCCGCCGCTGAGAGAAAAGCATCGAATCATGCACAACATTTCCTCAAACACACCTGATCCGTGCTCACAAACGCAGCTCTGCAAACTCCCCTGTGGGAGCCCGACGCTCAGAGCGCGAGTTCAGGCTGAAGCAGGCGACACAGCGCATCATTCAGAGTGTTTGGACCCGACACACCAGGACGACTCTCCCGCCTTTTCTTTAACGGCTGGTTTCACACAACTGGCGTGACGAGCGGCGAGGGGACTAAAGGATGTATCTGCATTTAGTTTTGAGTGCTGTGAGGTAAAGTCTCAGCTGCAGCAGGTCTGAAAGACAGGACTGACCATCTCATTCAGTCATACATTGGAGCGGTGGAGGTTTCTCTCACTCGTACAGGTTAGGGTCGCCTGAGCCGCTGAAGCTGGACGTAACTGGACTTTGTTTCAGGTTCCTGAAGATGTTTCAGCTGCCATCTTGAAACGTGTTCAAGAACCTAAAAAGTCCAGCTGCGATCAGCAGACCACCACGTCTCAAACTTCCTAAACTCTTAGATTATTTCAAAGTGTGTTTTGAGCCAGGAACAGCCTTTTAGCTCTGAGCACGCTCACCTCACTGTTGAAAAGATTGAACTTTCTGCTACTGAGCACTAAAGCTCAACATCTGAAGCCAACTTCCTGTTTGCTTTCTCTGGGAGCTTCCCCTCTCAAACAGACTCGGCATCATGGTGGAAGTGATAGCACTGGTGACATCAGAGGGCGCGAACAGACGTACAAACGATTATTCGACAACATGAAGCAACTTGAGACATCACGAGGAGGCCCGAGGTAAAGCCAGGCAGCAGCGCCCTGAGACTGAGTGAGGGGCGTTTGGCGGTCTTGGTGTGTGGGGTCCTGATGCAGAGCGTTGAGCGGAGCAGCTTCAGAGCAGCCGGGGAGGAAGAGCTGACGTTAGTGGGGGCTCTTACCATGACACGAGTCCCTGAGAACCCAGATGTCCTCGAAGGGACACCCAGACTGAGACAGACGGCTCGGAGACGAACCTATCAGACACAGAGACTCGGATGGACCTGGTTCTGTCAGGGAAGGGGGGGGGGCTGACTGAGGGGGTGGGCTGAGGTGCAGGACACAGGTCAGGGTTCAAGCTACAGTCACACCTGTGCAGGTGAGTGATGAGTCACCTCAAAGACACGGTGACACGCACACACACACACACACACACACACGCACGCACGCACACACACA